CCCCTTCCTGCGGGGACCTCTGCAGGAAGACAGACACGTGGGTCCCTGGCATAAGAATGCTCCCAGCAGGGACAACTAGAGCCCGGGAGCTGAGGCCAAGTGTGCTTGGTGTACACCGCAGCAACCATGATGGCCGGAGCGTGGGGAGATGGAGGAAGCAGAAGGAAATGAGATGAGGAAAGGAAGAGAGGACTCTGAGGTCAAGTCTGTAGCTATCCTTAAGAATTTTTGAATTATAGTGTAAGAAAAATGGAAAATCATTGGATTTTTGAGGGAGTCACTGGAATTTTTAAGTGTGATATTGTGTGAGATTTGTTAAAGATCATTCTGCTAGGTGGAAAATTACTGAGGCAAAGTCAGGGATGAAGATGCTGTTGTAATAAACCGGCCAAAAGAGGGTGGCATCTCGGACCAGTGTGGTGACACTGAAGGAGGTGACGAGGTCAGGTTTTGGGTATGTTTTGAAGCTAGAGGCAGTGGGATTTGCTAATGGTTCAGAAGTACAAATTTAGAAAAAGAGAAGAGTCAGAGATGAGCCAGCTGCATAGAAACTAAAACGGTATGTCCGAGTTTCCAAAAAAAAAACCCCATTGTTGCCTCTGTAAGTTCTTCACCACTTTGTATTGACACAAATTCTGTGTCTGCCTCCTTTCCGCACGCGGAGGTTCTGAAGGTTTGTTTTTTCCTATGTGGCACTGGGATTTGGGCCCAGGGTCTTGTGCATGCCGAGCACACTGTGCCCCTTGAGCTACTGCCCAAACGTCACAACTTTATCTTATTGGTGAACAGTGGGAGAATGTGGGAGATGTGGGCAGAAAGCTGTGCAGGGGACCAGAAGGGGCAGGGAGGTAGCTGATGTAGCCTGGAGAGCACAGGATGGAGGCTTGCCGGCTTGGGTTTGAGCTATGACTCCATTGCTTGAAGCTTTGGAACTTTGCACAAGTCACCTTAACTCCCCCCAACTTAGATTCTGTAAAATTGGGAAAGTGATACTGATCTCCGTCTGGTGGCAAAAGAATGCACGACCTACACCAGCTCTAGCGTGGAACCCGGCACAAAGAAGCTTTTGCTTATAGGTGATGGCAGGGACGACAGTGCTTGCCACTTGTGATCCTGTCATTGGCCCTCTCACAGGTTATCTTCTGTGTGGTGTTTGATAGTTTTAGAAAAAATTTGTTTTAAAAAACATATACTTGGGGGTATGTGCCAGTGGGACAGGGCTTCCCTTGCAAGTACAAGGCCCTGGGTTTGGTCTCCAGTGTTGAAAAAATATATCATACTGCAAGGGCACGTAGAAACACTGAAATGTCACCCAGGATTTGGAGTTATTTAACGTTGATGGGAAATGACAAGGAATCATTGTTTATAAAAATGTCAGGCCTCGAAGAGTCAGGAAGGGAGGCTTTTCTGGAGTCTATAAGCAAGAAGCAGAGTATGTGGCAGTTACTGATTGGTTCTTTCTTTCTTTCTTTTTTTTTTTTTTTGTCTTTTTCATTTTTATCGGTACCAGGGATTGAACTCACAACTGCCAGCTTGCAAGGCAGGCGCTTATGCCGCTGAGCTAAATCCCCCTACTGATTGGTTCTTATGACATACATCATAATGCCCTGCCATGCAGCATGATGATCAGCTGTTTCTAGGAAACAGAAGTAACAGGAACTGTAACAGGAGCTATAACAGGAAGTAAACTGGGATTATCTGGGAAACTAAGAGAAACTGAAGTATGTTGTCTGGGGGGGGGTGCACATTTTCTGTTACAATACAGCAAAATCAACTTCTTTGTACACAGTGCTATGAATTTTAGCATCTGTATAGATTCAAGTAACTACCATAATCAGGATACAAAACTTCCATCACTGCTAGAGACAGTTTGTAAAAACACCTTTATGGAGATATAATCCCTATACTATAAAGTTCATCATTCAAGGTATATTAAATGTTGGAATATTTGTAGTATTGTGCAGCTGTCACTTTGCTAATTTCAGAACATTTCATCATTATAAGAAGAAACTTCAAGCTTATTAGTGATCATTTTTCATTCCTGTCTGTCCAGCCTCTGACAACAACTAATCCACTTTCTATTGTTACATATTTACCCATTTTGTTTTTCATGTAAATAGAATCATGCAGTACTTAGCCTTTTGTGACTAGCTTTTTAGTGTAATGTTTTCAGAGCTCAGACATGTTGTAGCATGTATCAATATTTTATTCCTCTTTATAACCCAATGATATCTCCTTTATATGGATATGACATACTTTGTTTACCCATTCATCCCTGGATGGACACTTGGGTTCTCAACTTTTACATACTATGAACAATATTGGTCTCATACACAAGTGTTTGTGTAACAAATTTTTCCATTCTCATAAATACCTGGAAGTTGTTCAATCATATGGTAATTCTGTTGAAAATCTTGATGAACTGCCAAACTATTCTGCAAAGTAACTACATTGTTTTACATTTTAATCTGCTATTTCTGGGTATGATGGCACATGCCTGTAATACCAGCACTCAGGAGGCTGAGGCAGGAGGATAACCTTGAGTTTGAGGCCAGACTGGGCTACATGGTGAGTTCAAGCCAGCCTGAACTACTTAGTGAGACCCTGACTCAGAAAGACCAAAAAAAAGATCAATCTGCTATGTATGAGAGCCCTAACTTCTCTATATTCTAATCAGTGCTTATTATCTCTTATTATTTCTGACTGGCTGTTTTGATTTAAATTTCCTTTAGACTAACACTATTGGGTATGTTTTAATGTACTTATTGGCTACTTGTCTATCTTCTTTGGAGAAATGTCTTAGTCTTTTGTCATTTGGTGATTGACTCGCGTCTTTTTTTTTGTCTTTTGAGACAGGGTCTTGCTATGCAGTTCAGGCTGGCCTTGAGCTCACTTTGTAGCCCAGGCTGGTCTTGAACTCGCAATGATCCTCCTGCCTCAGCCTCCCGAGTGCTGGGATTACAGGCATGAGCCACCATGCCCAGCTGATTTGTGTCATTATTATTATTATTATTATTATTATTTTCTGAGTACTGGGATTACAGGCATGTGTCACCATGCCTGGCCTGCATTTATGTAAGAGTCTTTCGTAAATTATAGGTATAATTACCTTACCAGATCCATAATTTGCAAATATTTTTTCCCATTCCCTGGGTTGTCTTCATGGATTGTCTTTTCCCTTTCTTGATGATACTCTTTGAAGTACAAAAGTTCTAATTTTAATCTTGTCTCATTTATTTTTTTATTTAGTTGCTTGTGCTTTTGGTGCCATATTTGAGGAGCCATTGCCTAATCCCTGGCCACAAAGATTTTGTCCCATGTTTTCTTAGGGTCTTATAGTTTTAGCTCTTACATTTGGATGTATAATGTACTTTGGATTAATATTTGCATACTTTTTTTTGGTACCAAGGATTGAACTCATGACCTTGTGCTTGCCAGGTGGGTGCTTATGTCACTGAGCTAAATCCCTGGTCCTTGTATATGGTTTGAATAGAAATTCAGATTCATTTTGTTCATTCAGGATATCTATTCTTACACATCCTGTCTAGCACATTTGCTAAATAGATTGTTCTTTCCTAATTATATTGTTTTCACACTTTTGTCAGGAATCAACTGACTATAAGTGTTAGGACTTATTTGTGAATTTTCAAGTCTATTCCATTTATCTATATTTCTGTATTTATAACAGTACCATAATATTCCCATTGTTGTACTTTGCATAAGTTTTGAAATTAAGAAGTGAGAATCCTCTAATTTTGTTCTATTTTTCAAGATTGTTTTGGGTATTTGGGGCTCCTTGAATTAACATATTTTAGGATTTTAGGACCAGCTTGTTGATTCCTGCATCAAAAGCAACTGAGATTTGACCGAGTTTCTATATCGATTCTATATCGGTTTACTGTTTGAAAATACTGAGTCTTCTAATACAGGAATATGAGTTATTTTCCATTTTTGAATTTCTTTCAAAATATTGTACAGGTTTCAATATGTCTTACACTTTTTCTTTTCTTTTTTTGGTATTGGGGATCGAACTCACAACCTCGCATTTGCCAGGCAGGCACTCACTAGTACTGAGCTAAATCCTCAGCCTGTCTTACACTTTTTTGGTTAAATTTTTTCCTAAGTGTGATGTTGTAACAGAATGGAATTGTTTCTTTCACTTTCATTTCATTTTTATATTGTTTACTTCTGATATATAAGTGCACAGTTGATTTTTACTTGTTGAGCTTGTGTCCTGTTCTACAGGAAGTTTTGACAACCCTGGGATTCAGAGGAGACTTAGCAATAGGGCCAGGAGAGGCTTCTAGTGCATGTCATCTGGGCAGATGCATGAGTGACAGAACTGTCACTTACACCCACAGTGTTATTTAATGTACACGAAGCTTTCCTTGGCTCTAATGACAAAAGAGACCAGAGTTCTCACCATGACACTGAAATTCTAGACGGCTGGGGTCTTGGGCACCACTCAGCCCCATCCTTCACCCTGTGTCCTCCAGCGTCCTCTGTTTCAACCTTCTCTCAATCATGGGTTTCTTTCTGCCTCAGAGTCCTGTGCTTGGTCATTACCCTGCCTCATACAAGCAGTGGAAAAGGTAGTTTTCTTCCTTTTGGAAAAATGTATTTTCTGGTGTTTGTAAATTTCTGTCTCTCCTGCTAATAATTCTTTTTTTTTTTTTTTTTGCCTCTGTGTCATCAGCATCTCTAACTGGAATGGATTAACTGAGGGTCAGGCCCTGGTCTCAGTGACACATTTTTACATATTAGTAAACTAAAGCTTACCTAGGTAAAGCAGCCCCAGTTCACATAGCTGGCAGGTGGTGGAGTCGTGATTCTACTGAGATCAGTATGAAGGTTTTAGATTTTTTTTGTATTGTGAATTGAACTCAGGACCTTGTGCTTGCCAGGAGGTGCTTATGCCACTGAGATATATTCCTGGCCCAGTTTTAGAATTTAAAATAACCCTCCAAGAGAGAAGTGTCATCTCTTAATTTGTTTTCCAGTGCAGACTTTTCAAAAACTGCAGAAGGCCAAGGAGATTCTGACCAATGAAGAGAGCCGAGCCCGCTATGACCACTGGCGAAGGAGCCAGATAGCAGTGCCATTCCAGCAGTGGGAAGCTTTGACTGACTCCATGAAAACGGTGGGTTTCTCTGTGGGGAGGATGTGAACGGTTGCTCGTGGAGTGGACTCATGGATTAAAGACAAAGACCAAGAAGTTGGTAGAATCTGGGTATAACTCAATGCTCACAAAATCCTGTGAGAGGAAATTCAGAGCAGACACAATGATTCAGTGCCAGAAAAGCCTGTGACTATGTGTTTTCCAGTCTGTTTGCCTGTTGGTGTCAGTAGCTATACTCATAATTTATACCTCATTTTATGAGCTCTGATAGGTGTGCTTCTCAAGTATGCTACAGTGTGGACTTGAGAAGTATGTATTTCAGGGTATAGTTGCTCATATACTGAATTTTGGACCTTTTTTGTTTCTCAAAAACTCACTGTATAGCCCAGGCTGGCTTTGAACTCATGGCAATCCTCTTGCTTCAGCCTCCTGAGTGCTGGAGGTACAGCTGTGTGCCACCATGCCTGGCTTTCATCTTTTTCTTGTTTGTATCAGTTTGTTCTTTTTTCAAAGCTTATAAATCTATTTAAAAAGCATGGTCTAATTAGTTGAAGAAAGCTGTAAATTTTTCTCTTGCACATTCTGGTGAAAAAATTATTGGTTTTAGGAAACCATTGTGTTACCGTTCTTCATGCCATTGAAAAATGAGATATCAAAATAATCCTTATGTCCAGGTGTAGTAGTGCATGCTTGAATCTCAACACTTGGGAGACAGAGAATCACCGTGAGTTCGAGATCTGCCTGAGGGACATAGTGAGTTCAAGGCCAGCATGAACTACATAGCAAGACACTGTCTCAAAACAAGACAAAATGAAACACCAAAAAAAAAAAAAAATCATTATAAGGGCTATGGAATGAAGGCCTGGTGACATATAATCCCAGCCCTCTGAGAGCCCAAAGCAGGAGGAGGACAATTTTATGCCAAGCCTGAGCAACTTAGTGATTTAGCAAGGCTCTGTCTCAAAATAAAAAATACAAAAAGGGCAAAGAATATAGCTAAGTGCAATTGCCTTGGATTCAGTACCCAGTATTTGAAAAAAAAAAAAAAAAAAAAAAAGGATCTGTGGGTGTAGCACATGGTCAGCAAATCCCTTGGTCCAATCCTTAGCACCCAAATAAACAAATAAGTCATTGTAATTGCTTTGTTGATATCAATTATTCTATATTATAGAGAAATGTTTCAAAATTTCTATTATCTTAGGCATTGTTTATTACCCAGATTCTATTTGTTAGAACATTGTTTTATGACTTGAGGCTCTGAATATAGAACTCTCCTTCCAGGTAAGTCTTCAGGGACACTTGTTAGAATTAGTCTATAAAGTGACTCACATGCCTGCCTTTCAGGGTACATTTAGATTTCCTTCTTCACAGTTTTTGTTTTAAGACTTGTGGAGCTTGTTTGTAAAAGACCTGTCAGTACTGAGGGATGATCTTTAAAATAATGGGAAGATCAAAGCAAAACTCTCAAATTACAGGTTTAAAGCCATTCATCATAAAATGTAAACTGGTTTCTTTGTCTCATTTTTGAAAAGTGTGTGCTCGTATGAATTTGCTTAAGGTGGGTAAATTACTTATGAGGTACTGAGCATACTGTTACGGTTTAGATCTATAATGTTCTCCAGAGCCTCGTGTATTTGGGAGCTGATTGCATCATGGAGCTGTACTCATCAGTGGGTTCATGCATTGATGGGCTTATTAGCTAAATGTGCTCTTAGGAGATGGGGACTGGTTGGAGGTGCTTCCCTTCAAGTCTGACCTGGAAGGGTGATGTGTTCTCCTTCCTGGTTCTTCCCTTGTCCCTGGTTCTTCTCTGTTCTCTCTGATTCCTGGCTGCCACGAGTTGAGTAGCTTTCCCCTGCCAGGCCTTCCACCCTGCCATTTCTGTCTTAGAGTCAGCCAGCTATATACTGGGACTTGAACCAAAACAAACCTCTCCTTTAAGTTGCAGGTAGGGGGTATTTTGTACCAGCAATGGAAAAGTGACTAAGGCATATGTGATTACTGAGTATATACACAAAGTAACTGCAGGGACTTCTTCAAAAAATATTGATCTGACTCCACATATTCAGAAATATGTCTCTTTTCTTTTTCTCTGTGTCTATCCATAATTCTCTTGTTGGTACTAGCTAAATAAACATTGTCCCGCCAGTGCTATATAACCATATTTCTAGTTTTCTCAGGATGGCACACTGTAATTTGCCACTGAATTAGTGACCCTTTTCTTCTGATTTGTAGCCCATTTTTTCTTGGTGATCCACTTAACTGCGTCACTTATTTTTTAATGGCTAATATTGCTTTAACTGTGGATTAAAAAAAGATCCAAATATCTGCTTTAATTTATATTGCCAGTGTCTTTCCATTTAGTACTAATTTCCTATCTCCAAACACATCATTTCTACTTTGAGTTTAGCTTAGCTATGACTGTTCGAGGTCTTGCAATAATTACATTTAGATCTTACTGGCTTCATCATCTGTGTTGTCAGCAAAGTTGAAGTAGTATGCTGGGCTAGCATTTCATTTCAAATTTATTTTTATTAGTGTTACAAAAATGATGAGCTGCATATCTCTGCTTTAAAATTTGTGGTGACTTTTTTCTTCACCCAATTTTCTTTGCTTCTTGCTTCTGACAGTCTGTTGCTGACTTCTTTTGTTTTTCTTCCTCAGTGGGCTTGGAATCCCTTATACTGAGTTTCACTGCATCTGTCTTAGCCACTTTCCCCATTGCTGAGACACAATACCTGATACCCACAACTTGAAGGAGAGGCTTATTTGGACTCAGAGTACAGTCCATGGTCAGCTGGCTCCAAGGCAGGATGGCATGGCAGAGGGGAATGGTGCAGAGAAAGCTGCTTACATCCTAGCAGTCAGGAAGCAGAGTGCTCACAGGGAGTAGCCAGGGAGTGACCTACACTCTTCCAGGTCAAGTCCCCGGTGACTTCGCTTCTGACCAGGCCCTGCTTCCAAATACCAAGCCAGCTGCAGAGCCCCCATAACCCAATCACCTTCCACAGGCTACTTCCTCTGAACACACAATACTTTGGGGGGATATACAGGATCTGTATACCATTCAGTAGATTTTCTTCTCTTTCTTTTCTAATCCTAAAAGTGATCCTTTTGCCTCAGCCACCTGAGTATTCATACTGTTGGTGCTGGCCATTGCATCTAGCTTCTTTGGTAACATTTAAACTGTCATTTTCTCTCTGTGTGTATTTCATTTATTTGTTATATTCATACTTTGATGAAATCAATAATAATTATCCTAGATAGCGCTGTTTGTTACCTAATAAGGCATTGTCTATTTTTGGTAGATAAACATCAGATTTAGGGTTTTGGGATTAGTTATAGACAGTAAAATGTTGTAACTTTAGGATTTGAGTTTCAGATGATGTTTGTCTAAAACACACCTGCATGTTCATGTGCCCTGCACATATATAGATGACTAAATCTCATCAAATCTCTTCCCTTCCACATCATTAATCTTGTGTTTCTGCTTTTTATTTAAACAGTATAATCCCTCTGGAAGGAAACATTGATTGGGAGCACAAGGCCCACCCTAAAGGCAAGACAAACCACAGGGCAGCTGGGCAGCAGCACACACACAGGCTCTGGTCTACACACACAGCTTGCTTCTCCTCGTGGGGAATTCTTCCAGCAAGTCTCAGCCTTAGAGTGACACAAGTGATGAAACTGTAACGGATACTTTTCTCTGTTAACTAGCTATTTATTTCTTTTTCTAGAAGATCCTTCTGATAGTTTCATTTGTAATACATTATGAGAATTCACCCAGGTCAATGAACATTCCAGCAATATACATTTAGACATGTGTTGGTTGAAGGCAAGACTGTGGGAGAAGGTTTTCAGTGATTCCAGCCTTTGGAATCCTGAGACAGCTTGAAAACAAGAGACCTTTCTAGCTCTAAGAATGTAGGGAAATTAGTCTGCGCCATTCTGGGTATGAATGACTCTCTCTCTGTTTTCAAAATATGTGTCAGAATGGCATGAGGAGGGCTTCTGAAAAGTGGTTACAGCAGAGCCACGGTCAAAATGAAGCTCTTAAGACAAATATCATAAGCTGATAAAAATATTGCTGTCATATCATTTGCTATAAATGATATAAGGAGTCAATAGAAATACATTCTTGGTGAATTGTTTGACAAACTGATTGTTCATGGGGTGCCATTTGGGGCTTCCCATCACCCTATGTCATCCCATGTCTATTGATTGTTTCTGGGTTCCCGCTGGGTGAGGTGACTTTGGGATGAGTCCAGTTGACCACAGACTACAAGGAAGTTTCCTACTGGGCCCACATGGCCACAATTTCTCTAACCAGATGGGAAACAGTGTGCAATCCAGCACCTTCTGGGCCTGTTTGAAAGGCAATCTGTGTTAATTGGATATTATCCAAAAGCAGGCCAGAAATCACTCCTGGAGATCCAGGATGAAAGTAACCAGTTGATTTTGCATAGTTACTCAGCTCAGCTATGGCACTTCTGAGTCGACTGCTTTTTTCTTTTCTATTTGTTGCAATGTTTAACCTCTTATGTATAAAAACAAAATTATTTGCTAGTGCTGACCAAAGTTTGAATGTTGGAGAATAACTCCTGAAAGAAGGGCAGGAGGGAAAGGGACAGGGAGAGGAAGAGGCTCATTAAAGAAAGCTGGCAAACAAGGTAATTATGAAGGTGGACTAATAAAATACCAGGTTCACAGACTTCCGGATTAGTGGCCTTTGTATCTGAGCTTGCTTTCATATGCTGTTAGCTTGCGTCATGCACACACTGACTTTCTGCCTTGTGCTGTACATTATTTTGCTGTACAGATTCTCCCTTTCCTAGTCTCCTTTTTAGTCTGTATCAACGATCACTTTGGCCCACTCTGTTGAGATGCATCACTATGCCACAGATTAGTTCGTCTGATGTGAAATGGTGTTCTGTGCATCCAGCGCCTTTGTGGAGTCCAGCAGTCTGTGAACACAGAGTGAGTGATCTGAAGGCTGCTGCACGGGCTGTTCTGCATTGCTCTTGCATTCAATCTTTGATTAAACTGCAAAGCATGACACGTTCCTGTATATGAAGTTAGATACAGTTTGAGTTTCTCTTCTGCATATTTATATAATTGGGATCAGCAGATACCAAAATCTGATGATAAAATGTTTTATTCTGATTTACTCTCAAAGAGGACAGGTGAGCAAGGCTACTGCCTCAGAATATCTTCTCACTGGGGGCTTTCAAAGCATTTATTGTAAGTCATTAATCCTCTTTGCTTATCTACAGCAGGCTGTGGCACTTTGATTTCAAGAGAGAAACATCATGTAAGGCCACTTGGTCAACTTGTGATGCTTTCAGTTCACATTTTTAGCTCTCTGGGTCTTAAATTATTGAACTCTTTTACTCTCTTTTTCCATTAGCTTCCTAATAGCCTTTTCCCTCCACGGAGAAAGCCAGTTGCCAGCCTTTTCTACTGCAGGCACACGCAAAAAACCAAAACACAACTGCAAGCCTCACTACCCCACGGAAAACAGCCAGAATTATGTAGAGGATTAAATCACCAGGAAAGCAATCATCCCAATCATTTAGACACAGTTCTTGGATATTAGGTTTCTAGGGACAGTTTTCAAGGACTTGGTTTCTTTTGTAGAAGTATAAAAATTATACTAGAAGTCCATAAATAATGACCAACACTGTTGATACATAGATCTTGATTTTTTAATTATAAATTAATGATGTAATAGTTAACACACTATTGTTATAAGACCAAAATAGTACAGTAAGACATATGATAAAAATGTACCCATTTTTGTTCCAAGCCCCACATCTACTTCCCTCTCCTAGAAATAACCACCATTATAATTTTTTTTTTCTTTTTGTTTTTTCCGGTACTGGGGATTGAACTCACCACTGCCTGCTTGCAAGGCAGGTGCTTATGCCACTGAGCTAAATCCCCAGCCCCAAGTATTGATTAATATTTATGTGCTTACTTTGTCAGTCAATGCACTGGGCTGTCAGAGGTAAGAAAGATCTGATGCTGGAAGAATCTGACCAGACCCATACCAAGAAGATTAAAAATGAAGAAGGGAAAGAACAAGGAGAAATAAAGGAAGAGGAACTGGGTTCAACCACAGAGAAAATGAAGCAAAAAGAATCTGAGTCCCTTGAGAAGTCAGTCTGTCCACAAAATGCAGATTCTCCAAGTAAGTCATGTCATACAACTTTGCAGAACAGAGGAGGTCTGAAACCAAAGTCCTTACGTGGTACTGTGTTTATTTGCAACCTTCTCCAATCTGCACAGTGGGTCAAACACAAGGGTTGGTTTAGCATCTTAAGAGATTTTGAGCAACTGGGAGTGGTGATACAAACCTTTAACTCAGAGGCTGAGATGGGAGGATTCTGCGTCAGCATTAACACAGAAAATGGAAAATACATTACTCTGGAGGGAAACCTGTGATGTTTCTCAGAATATCTTTTGCTTTATTGAAACAACACTAGTTAACATTTACTGAATGTTTGCTTATGTGCAAAGATACTGACTTTATTACCTCATTTAATTTAAATTTTGCATGTATTAATTTTTTAAGTCCTCACTAGAAACTTAGGAGATTGCTGTTACTATTAGTGTTCTTACTTTACAGATGAGCACACTAACACCTGGAGAGGTTGAGTGTTAGCTCTGGGCTAATACAGCTTAACTGTGGCAAGGCAGGGCTTTGAACAGAGGCAGTGTGCCTCAGAGTCCATGTCCCAAGATACTACATTACCCTGCAGTGACTCTTCATCTGGAAGTAGCATTATCTAGTCTGCATCATTTATAGATCCATTGAGGCAGGGTGTTACAGAAGTTTAACTCCTGGATCCCAAGCGTCACTACCTGTGTCCACATTCTAGCTCAAGTACTTATTATCTGTCACTTAGCAAAAGTTGTCTATTTCTCTAGACCTTGGTTTCCTCATCTATAAAATGGATATTATAATAATAACCTCTTCACAGAGTTACCATGAGGATTAAATGGGGAGATTCAATCAAAGTGCTCAGCATAGTGATTGGTTTGCCTGTAGCAGGCTGTGTTTGTCAGCTTTCTTTTTGCTGAGACTCTGTGTGTAACACCCACAACTTGGAGGAGAGGTTTAATTTGCTCTCAGTTTTAGTTCATGGTTGACTGACTCCAAGATGGGGACATCATGGCAGAGGGGCAGAGCAAAGCTGCTTAGTTTGTAGAGGCCAGGAGACCTGAGAGGAACAACTGAGCGACCATGTAAAGTACCCAAGACCACACTTCCGTAACACCCTCACTCACCCAGGAGTGTGCTCCACTGATCTGCTAAGCGGTTCTTAATCCAGTGATGAAATGGATACATCAGGATTAGTGCTCACACAGGCTTTGGAGAAGTGTTGGCTGCTGCTGTTTTCTGGTTTGTCTGGCCCCCACACTGTCAATAGTTTGGGTGTCTTGTATACATACTCTGCAACGTACTTCAAGTTCTTTCTTGTTGATTCTTGGGGTTGTGAGGCAGTACCCCATTAAAATTTTGCCTTTGAGTAAAAAGTTCCTGAATACTCTTGAACACTTGTTTGAAAAGAAGGTAATTAGATAGCTTGTGGTGATTGAAGTCTTGGTAGAAAGACTGTCACTTCAAATTTCTTTTTGGGGAGAACTTTTACATAATTGGTAGTTGCTAGGAATAAGGATTCTTAAAGAGTTTGATTCAGGTGTCTCTGCTAGTTACCCAAGAGACCTCGATAGTGTTGTCACCTTTATTGCACAATGGTCACAGTGGTTAAATGATAACGAACTTGATCAAAGCAGAAGACTGCATTTCACAAAACAGTGTTTTAAGTAAGCACACATATACAAACATGTCTCCTGCTGCCCTCCCCACTGTATGCACAAACAGGCAAATGTGCCAACGTTTCCCCTCCCAGCCCTGGAATGTTCAGTTCTGTGTACCTTGAGCCCCCAGTCTCTCTGTTTCAGTTAGATTTATTTGTTTATTTTTGTGGTACTGGGAGTTGAACCCAGGGTCTTCACACGGAGCTAGGTCCTCAGACCTTGTCTGTTTCATATTTGAGACAGGGTCTCAGTAAGTCACTAAGTTGCTCAATGTGGGTTCAAACTTGCAATCCTTCTGCCTCAGTTTCCTAGAGTGCTGAGATTACAAGTGTGTGCTGCCACTCTGGCTTCCAGTCAGATTTTCACAAGACCTTATCCATTATTACGAGGACGGGGAGGAGGAGCTGGGCACTGCAGAAACTCAGGAGTGGGTACTAAGGCCGCACTCGCACCTCTCTCAAGATTCTGTGGAATTTTCTATTTTTAAATAGTTATTTTGGTATTTTAAAAAGCCAAACAGTATGAGTTCATCAGTGAAAAGAAAAATTAAAAAATCGCAGACAGACAGTAACTTGGTGTGTATCACAGTCTCCCATCCTCCTCTGCTCCACTTCCTGTGTCAGCCTTTACTGGTGCTCAGGCGTGTCTCTTTCTATATCATGCTCTAGGCTAATCCAGTTCTATTTTCACCCTTAGGAGAAACTCAAAGAAAAGGTTATGTTGTGCACATGCTTGTGTATTACACAGCAGTCAAGCCAGCGTTAGAGTCAGATCTGGGATTTCCACTGACGAGATATATGATGTGGGGCAAGCTGGTTAAGCCCTGAGGATCTGAGTTTTATCTGTATAATGATTGAAATATTAGTGTGTACCTTGTGATGTCTTGTTGAGGAGAAAATAATTTATGTAAAATATTTAGATTAGTGCCAGCCACACGGTAAGTGCTTTTATGTGAGTGTGGGTGTGTGCGTGTGTGTGTGTGCATGTATGTTAGCTCATATTACTACCGGTCTTGTCCTGACCTAGTCTCACATTCATAAGCAATTTGTCCTTCTTAATGTCTGATAATATTCATAGTGTATGTATATCATCATTTATTTGACCAAATTGTAATGCCAATTTTCATAGGGTATATTCTTACTACAGTATTAAGAAAATGCTGGTAGCTGCCTCTGATAGAACTTCATCATGAAGGATGAGTGTTCATCCTGTTTTCATCACTGTTTAATTATTGGCTGAGGGGCTGGGGATTTAGCTTAGCGACATAAGCACCTGCCTTGCAAGCAGGTGGTTGTGAGTTCAATCCCTGGTACCGATAAAAAGATAAAAAAAAAAAAAATTATTGGCTCTTCTGAGTGTTAGGTCTGAGAGAAGGGGGAGGATGAGAGGAGAGAAGAAGAAGTCCGTGGGAGGAATGGAGCGGAGTGGACGGCCGTGAAAGTAGTGGGCAGCAGTGGCTTTATTCCGGGAATGCGGGGAGGGGCCCCCCCACCACCGGCCCCGGGGCGCAGCATCTCTGCACCCGGGCCGGGCCGTGGTTAACACGGGGAGGGGAGACTGGCGCGCTGGCCGCTGGAATCCGGCGATCTCCTTGGCGATCTCTCTCTCTGGCGAACTCTCTCTGACACGTGGCGTGGGGGAATCTAAATGGCCTAAGCTTAGGGCAGCGCCCTAAGGCCATTAGAGATGCACAGGTATCTCATTGGCGCACAGGTTCTTAAGGATGGGGATATAGGGTTACAATCAAGTCCATAGGGGGCGGGGGGGGGAGGAGTTTAGCTGCACCCTTTTCTGGTTACAGTGTTCAGTCTGAGCCAGCAACTCTTTCATATCCCGTCTTATGGTTATTAGGAAAAGGGGCGAAGATCTCTCTCTGTAACTACTTCCTGCTGGCTGAGGGCGCTGTATTGGGGGTGTAGGGGAGTTTGACGGGATGAAGGTTGATGCCCAGGTAGACACTGATGCCAGGTGTTTTAGCCAGGACAACTTTACTGGTGAATGTACGTGTGTCAGACTGGAAAACCTATGCCATTTACAAACAGGCCCATTTTTATACAGGTCCCAGTCCTAAATCATAAAATGCTTTTATTCCCTTTTAAACTGCCATTCTGGTCTCACATCACTCAGGCCCTAGATCTAACCATCCTTTTGATGCTCATCTCTGCCTTATGACTCACAGGTTGTCATGTTTTGTTGTCCAGTTTGATTCTTAATTTCTTACATTCTGTTAATGATCATTTCTATAGCAGGAGTCCCTAACACGATTGCCTACAGACTCCAACATCATATATACCAGAGACAAGCCTTACCTACCTACCTTTTAACTTTTATGCTTTCATAAGGGGGAGTAAACACCTCTTATAACTTCACTCCTCCTAATCCCACGTTTATTTTTCAGAATTCTGCCTTGCCACCTCAACGTCACCCTGATAAAATACCATCTCAAAACCAAAGTCACCTTCCTATCTACCTCACCTGGGTCCTTAAATATAATAGTGCCATGTCTCCTAATAACATTATGTCTCTTTGTTTTTCCAGTCTGACACACCTACATTCACCAGTAAAGTTGTCCTGGCTAAAACACCTGGCATCAGTGTCTACCTGGGCATCAACCTTCATCCCGTCAAACTCCCCTACACCCCCAATACAGCGCCCTCAGCCAGCAGGAAGTAGTTACAGAGAGAGATCTTCGCCCCTTTTCCTAATAACCATAAGACGGGATATGAAAGAGTTGCTGGCCCAGATGGAACACTGTAACCAGAAAAGGGTGCAGCTAAACTCCTCCCCCCCCCGCCCCCTATGGACTTGATTGTAACCCTATATCCCCATCCTTAAGAACCTGTGCGCCAATGAGATACCTGTGCATCTCTAATGGCCTTAGGGCGCTGCCCTAAGCTTAGGCCATTTAGATTCCCCCACGCCACGTGTCAGAGAGAGTTCGCCAGAGAGAGAGATCGCCAAGGAGATCGCCGGATTCCAGCGGCCAGCGCGCCAGTCTCCCCTCCCCGTGTTAACCACGGCCCGGCCCCGGGTGCAGAGATGCTGCGCCCCAGGGCCGGCGGTGGGGGGGCCCCTCCCCGCATTCCCGGAATAAAGCCACTGCTGCCCACTACTTTCACGGCCGTCCACTCCGCTCCATTCCTCCCACGGACTTCTACCTCTCTCCCTCTCTCTCCTCCGCTCCCTTCTCTCAGACCTAACACTGAGTACTGCCATAAAGTTGGAGTTTGATATATCAAAGTGTAATTGCATATAATTGTAACTTTTATTGCAGTGTAAGTTTTTGTAACATGAACATTTAAG